GGGGGGGGGGGGGGGGGGGGGGAGAGGGGATGTGTCACTTCGGTGTGGTGTGTGTTCGTTCAGGTCAGTGGATGGACGAGCAAGTGGTGGTCCGCGGAGAGGGAAAGGCTTTCGCTATTGTGAGCCAATCATAACACATCTGACGCAGACAGTGTGTTATGTCTCTCCGTGTGTGCTGTGTGCAGATGGGTCAGTTCTTCAATTTGGGACTTCTTGTTGGCCCGGCCATGGCGGCATCGCTCATTCAAGAAGCGCACTTCAGCTATAGCCTGGCCTTCCAGACTGTCGGCATTCTCTTCGTTCCCCTGGCCGTGGCGGCCTTCGTCTGCCACTGGGGGACTGCCAAGCCGTGTAGTAACCGGGTCATCGCTTCAGCCCATGACCGACACATTTTGCCATCGTGAGCCAGCGATGGGTATGCGCTGCGCGAGTGTGACTGTCTGTGTGTGTGGATATTTGCACAGAGAGGGGGGGGGGCAGTGGTGTGAGGGTGAGTAGCTCTTATCTATAGGTGTTGTGTCTGTGTCTGAGTAAGGACCTCCCTTACCTGTATGACCTCTCTCTGCGTTTGTGTGTGTCTGTCTGTCTGTCTGTCGTATTACATATTTGTGCCTGAGATGATAAGGGATGCGATGCGACGCGACGCGACACACGTGTGTGGTTGTGGGTGTGCATGCGGTGTGCATATTTCTGCATTCTTCCTGCCTGCCGTGTACTTCCTGGCGGTTTTGACTGATGCATGGTATTCAGATATCAAAAATCAAAAGGTCTTATCTAAGACATCCATCTCACAGTGAATGACGCCACGAACGACACACGCACCAGCAAAAAGAGGTAGGTTATCGGTCTCTCCACAGCCAGTCACCCAGACACACCCACAGAGAGGAAGCGATACACACGGCACGCGACACATCTTGGCTTATGCAGCCAATGCGACCACACACACACACACACACACACACAACTGAGACGCAGAATTGCCCTGCGGCCATGTGGGGGCGGGGCGGCGGAGTGCCGTGCCCGAAAAAAAGACGGACACGCACACTGCCGCCCACCCTTGCCTGCCTTCCGGACACCTTAGTGTCTGAATGAGCGCACAATGATATGAAATGGCCCAGACTGCACACCACACACGACAAAAGGAACGAACCAACGAACCAACGAACGGCTTAAGCCCTCACCATCCACTCACTCCACACACACGGGACACGCACACGGGACATGCACGGCACTCCTCCCTATCCATCCGTCAGCTGACACAAACAAACTACACTGTGATGTGGCCCAAGAGCAGCCACTCACACCCCCTCTCCCCTCCCCTCTCTCTGTTGCCTTGTCTACCAATCGCTCTTGGCGCCATCGCCACACCCGCAGCTACCCCCGTCCGCCCCAAATGTCTCCACCAGCTGTGCCGTTGCCCTGTGGGTGCCGTTCAGCATGCCCATGCCTGTCGGCTCTTTCTTGTCCTCCCAATACTGCAAAGGGCCGCCCGTGGTGGGCTCCAGAGCCACCTCCCTGCCCTTGGCACCGCCAGGCCTGTGTGCGTTGACAGAGACGTTCTTGCCGACGGCCCACTTCTCGGTGGCGAGCTCCTCGTCGATCACGGTGGGCGGGGGCAGGTTTAGCAGCACCTTGTCGCCCTGCACACATGGATGGATGGATGGATGAAAGGGGAGCCGGTGCGTGTGTTGTGTGGTCACCTACCTGTATTTTGACGTCGAATACTGCGATCTTGTAGGGGTCCCCCGAGAGTGACTCGCCGGTTTGCAGGGAGAAGGTCTTCTTGTGCAGGGGACACGCCACCTTGGGCTCGTCGCCAGCCTCACCTACCACACAAACACACACACACACACACACACACATGGAGGGGTGTTCCCTGGCCCCCCCTCCCCCCCCCTCTCTCTATCTCCGTGTGTGTGTGCGTCTCACCGACGAGGCCCCTGGACAGCACGAATGCCCTCTTGTGCGGGCACATGTTTTGTGTGGCGAACCACTCGCCGCGCGAGGTGAAGTTGAAGACGGCCAGCTGCGAGTTGCCGTACTTGACGGCGGCCCCGCCGTCAGAGGGGAACTCCGAGACCTTGCCCACCTCAACCCACTGCCACGACGAATCCGCTGACTCCTTCGTCACCTGCACGCCGAGAGATGAGATTGGGGCATTTGGTGTGTGTTGTGGGTGGATCGACATACCTTTGCTTCGAAGGGTCCTGTTTCTTTGGGCCATGGTGAGGGAATGGCCTGGCCGCGCATTGGCCGCTCGCCCATGGCTGAATGGGAGCAGATGGATGGATGGATGGATGGGGCACTCGCTCTATCTCTATCTCTCTCTGTATGTGAGTGATCGATGTGTTTGGTTTGTTTACTTACTTTTCTGTCTGTCTTGTGTGTTAGCGAACTGGACGAACTTCTTGCGGAGCGCCGGGTCCTCGACGACCTTCCTCCACTCACACTCGTACGTCTCAACCACATACTGACACACACACACACACACACACGGAGAGGATGTCTGTGTGCACGTGTGTGTGCGTGTGTGTGTGCCGACCTGCATGCGATCCTCCAGCTCCTGAGCGATGCCCAGTTTGTCGTGCACCACCACCTGCTTGAGGTACTCGATGCCGCCCTCCAAGTTCTCCAGCCACGGGGCAGTCCTGCAGCAACACCACACACACACACAAGCACACACATAGAGAGAGGTGTTACAAAGCCATTCCTTGTGCGTCTACTCTCTCTCTCTCTCTGTCTCTCTCTGTCTCTTTATCGGTCACACTGACCTCTGCAGCGGATCGGCCGTGTAGATGTAATACATCAGAAAGCGGTCCAGATACCTGCACACAGACAGACAGACAGACAGACAGAGAGAATGAACGAACGCCTTCCCTCCAAATGCCTCCCCTCCCCATCCCACCCACTTGATGGCGGTCTCTTCGTCGGCATCAGCGGCGAGCAGCTTGGCGTGTGCCGGCCGCGCCCCCCCGTTGCCGCAGACGTAGACGTTGTAGCCCTTCTCAGTGGCCACCAGACCGAAGTCCTTACCCTGCGCCTCGGCACACTCGCGGACGCACCCCGACACGCCACTCTTGAGCTTGTGGGGCGAACGCAGGCCTTTGTAGCGATTCTGATCGACACACGCAGACAGGGGCCGGTGAAGACCGTCATGTGTGTGTGGGCGTGGGTGGAAGGGGTGAGAAGGGGAGAGGGGAAGTACCTCGAGCCTGACGGCGGTCGAGACGGAGTCCTGCACTCCGTAGCGGCACCAGGTGTTGCCCACACAGCTCTTGACCGTGCGCAGCGCCTGAATGGTCACACACACACACATCCACACACATGGGACACACTTCTTTGTGTGTGTCCGCCTGCAACACAGCGCAGCGCAGCGCACCTTTGCGTAAGCGTGTCCGCTTTCGAATCCGGCCTCAACGAGTTTCTGCCATATGTCAGGGAGGTCGGGGATCTGCGCGCCGAACATGTCGATGCGCTGGCCGCCGGTGATCTTGGTGTACAGCCCGTACTCCTTGGCAACCGCAGCTGTGTCAACGGATGGATGGAACACACACACACACACACACAGAGAGAGAGAGAGAGAGAGAAGGAGGGCATGAGCATGGCAGGGCAGGGGGGGGGTACGGGCCGTCTGCCGTGGTGTGTTGGTTGTGCTGCTTTCCTTACCGATGGCTGCAAGTCCGTCAGGGGTGACCTCGCCGCCTGGAAACAAAGAGACAGAGAGAAGGAGAGAGAGGAAACACCACACCAACAGAATCATGCTGTCCTGGCATCCATCCATCCTTCGATCCCCAGCCCACTCACTCAGGTACCCACCCACCCACCGGGTATTCTGGGAATGACGCTGTAGGTGCCGTTGCGCTGCACGTTGGCGAGGAACCGGTCGTTGGTGTCCTGCAGAGTGTTGCGGCCCTCGGCCAACACGTGGCTGTTCCACAACGACGCCAATATCGAGGCTATCGCTGGCTTGCAGAGCTGACATGCCACCACACACGCACACACACACACACACACACACACAGAGAGAGAGAGAGAGAGAGAGAGAATTCCGGGTGTGTGCGAGGGAGGGAGGGGGAAGTGGCGGAAATGCTTCTTCTCACCTCACAGCCGTCCTTGCCCGTGCCAGCGACGGCAAGAACGTCATGGAACGAGGTGAGCGCCTTGATCTTGATGATGTCGAAGAGCTCCTTCCTGCTGAAGGGGAAGTGCTTGCAGATGCTCTTGGTGGCGGAAAGGCCGAGCTTCTTCATCTCCTTGGCCATGATGCCCTTGACGGGCCCGATGGCCACGCACCCGCCGCAGCCCGTGCCCGTCTTGTTGCACTTCTTCATGGCCTCGAGCGTGTGGTGGCCCTCGCGCACCGCTAAACGGATCATCCCCGCCGTCACGCCGTTGCACGTGCAGACAAGATCGTCGTCCTCTATGCTGCACCAACCAACGAACGAACGACATGAAGGGTGTATTGGTGTGGGCGGCTGTGAGTGTCTTTGTTGTGATGATGTCTTACTCGTCTTCGCCGGCCCCGGCTTTCTTGGCAGCCGCACCGCCGATCAGCTCTGAGGGCTTCTTGTCGCCCAGTGTGCCTGACCATGGTCGGGGGGGACCCCCAGTATCCATGAGAGAGGGGGGGGTGGGGGACACTCTGGCCGATGCTCACCTTTCATGGCGAGTGAGAGGAGCTTGCCGTAGTCGGCCGCATCGCCCACCAGGATGGCACCCATCAGCTTGGTTCCTGACCCATCCATCCATCCATCCATCCACACGCACACACACATACACACACACAGGTCAGCCAGCGCATCTTCCGCCAGCCCCCACCCACCGGCCTTGTCGACGACAATCTTCTTGTACACGCCGTTGACCTCATCCAGGTGGGTGAGTTTCTTCATGCTGGGCGCGTACCAATGCCGCTGGAACCAGAAGTCTGCCGACGCGCCGAGCGAGGCCACGTCCACCCCCAGCAGCTTGAGCTTGGTCGACAGGTCGGAACCCTCGTAGGCCTTCTCGTCCGCAGCCGACTCCGCCAACAGGTTGTGCACCAGCACGTCCGCCTGCTGCACCCCCGGCGCCCACAGCCCGTAGCACATCTTGCCGCGGTGAGAGGCCACCTGCGGCAAAGAGATGAGAGGTGAGCGTGTGTGTAAGTGTGTGTGTGTGTGTGTGTGAGGGTGTCTTGTGTGACTGACCTCTCCGATGGCGTAGATGTCGGGGTTTGAGGTCTGGCATTTGTCGTCGATCTTGACGCCGCCGCGGCCGCCGATCTCCAGCCCGCAGTCACGACCCAACTCATCACGGGGGCTGATCGATTTACACACAAGCACACACACACACAGCGGGGAACTTGCAGGGTCATGCGTGTGTGTGGAAGGGCGGTTTGTTGTGTGTGCATACCGACCGGATGCCGCACGAGACGACGATCATGTCCATGGGGATGGTGAGCTCCTCGTCGCTGTCGCCCTCTGCCATGCGGACGCCGCAGAACCTGCCAGCCTCGTTGGTCAGAATCTCCTTGATCTTGGCCTTCAGATGCACTGAGATACCCATTCCTGCGACCATACACACACACATCCCCCCACACCTACGCACTGTCACGCGGCTCTGTGTGCGTCGGTCGGTCATTGACTGACCGACCTTCGATTATGTTGGTGAGAATGAGCCCTCCCTGCTGGTCCAGCTGTGTGGGCATCAGGTAAGGCGCCACCTCGAGGATGTGCGTCTCCACGTTGAGGTCGTACACCGCCTTGGCCGCCTCCAGACCCAGCAGCCCTCCGCCGATGACCGCCGTGCGCTTGGCCGTCTTGCTGTACTCGATGATCTCCTGCATGTCCTCTATCGTCCGGTACACAAACACACCAGGCACAGTCGTCTTCAAACCAGGGGCTGAGAACAGACAGACCCAGACCCAGACACAGACACAGACACAGACACAGACACCCACACACCAACAGACCAGACCACTCAGTGAAGTGCACTCTCCGTGTGTTTGTTGTGTGGTGTGGGTGTGCTTACAAGGCGGGACGAAGGGGAACGACCCCGTGGCTAGAACGAGGACGTCATAGGGCACCTTGTCGTTGACGAGCTTGTTTGCCGGGTCGATCTTGACGGCCTTCTCGCCCAGCAGCAGCTCGATGCCGTTGTCGGTGAAGAACGACTTGTCGCAGAGGGACAGCTTGTCGGGGTCACGGTGCTCGAAAAATGACGTCATCTTGACGCGGTCGTAGGCGTGCCGCGCCTCCTCGCAGAAAGCCGTCAGCTGGTACCTCTTGCCCTGGTCCTTCTCCACCATTTGCTCTGTGCAGACGGAACGGACAGGGCGCACACACACAGCGAGAGAGATCCATCTTGAGGCAATGAGTGCACCAGTGCACTGCAGGTGCTCATCCCCCTCACCGAGGAAGTGCTGTCCGATGGGCCCGTTGCCCACCACCACGATGCGCTTCTGCCGCCCGTTCATCCCTGATGGCTCGGGACTCATGGTCGAAAGTCAACGAGGGATGAGTCAAGGAGTCTTGCTCGGTGAAGATCACCACCAACGCAGTGCGCCCTGGTCACAAATTGAGGCGGCGGCAGCTCAAAAGCGTCGAAAAGTATTCGGCTTATTTGCCTCGCGTGCGAGCTCAAGCGCGCAAGGGGAAGAAGAGGAAATAGGGCAGAAGGGGAGGTTACAGGGTGGCGCCCCAGCCCCACTGGACCTTCCTTGACCAAGTTCTTGACCGGCATGATCCATTCCATTCCCACCCGTCGTTGGGGTCCCATCATTGAGTATCATCGCGCTGACGGTGAACGGACAGGTACTTCCTGTACGTGCGGGGCAGATCAGCTCTATGGTTTGCGTGCATTTGTCTGTCTGTGTCGGTGCCTCCATGCAGGTGGGTGTGACTCGGCCTGATGGCCCGGCCATCGTCTGCCGCATCCCAAGCACCACCTGCTATGCCGCCCGGGTGCTTGGGGCTCGATGACGTCGACATCGTCCCCGGTAGGGGCGTCACTGGTGTGACTCAGCAGCTGATGGAGGGCTGCATTCGGCGCACCTTCACATTCGGCGCCCAAGTCACATCGCTGATCCGTGAGAGAGCTTTCCCGGGAGCCAGCGGCAGCCTTCGAGTCCGCGGCACCAGAGGCACTCACAGCATGTACAGCTGCCTGTGTTTCGCCATCGACAGCCCAACGAACCGCCCATTCCTCTACGCGAGCGGCGCTCGTAAGCAAAAGGTGCCGGTGGTGCTGCCGCAGTGGTCCTCCCGTCAGCTGCAGCGTGACGTCATCAATGCACTCATCGACGGCGGGGCGGACATCAATGCGGCCGGAGGGGAAGAGCGGCTCCTCAAGATGGGCATTGCGGCGGGCAATCTGACGGCTGTGGAGGTCCTCCTGGAGCGGCAGGCCAACGTGCGGGGATTTGGGCCACTAGTGATGGAGCTTCCAGACATGCTCGATGCTGCCCCTTCCGTCACTCGTGAGTACGAGGCCGCCCTCATTTCGGTGTACCGCCGCCTCATCCGACACGACAGCACACTGCCAGCCGAATGGTCCGTTTATGGAAACAGTCTGGTGCATCTGGCGGCCACGGCCCCCTCCATCTTCTCCCAGCAAGTCATCGACCAGTATCTGGACCTCATAACCAGCCACGGTGTCGACACGACGGCAGCAAACCACGCGGGCTTCACGCCACTGCACATCGCATCGCGCGGCTCCCCCTGTGTGGCCGAGTGGTTGTGCCGGCAGCTCACAGCCGACGACGTCAACAGAGGAATGCCGAACCAGCCTCATCGGACACCCCTCGCCATCGCTGCCGATGATCTCATCCAAGAGCAGCAGCAGCGGCAGCTGGGAGAGGGGCGGGCAAGATACATCCGCAACTACAAGACCACCATCGGTGTGCTGCTGAGGGGCGGGGCAGCCCCATCCATCGCCCGCATGCCCACCGCCACTGACATGCAGCGCCGTCGTCGCCAGCTGGTCCTGGCCGAGTACGCCACAGTGCTGAGTGAGCTGTCCGAGGCCGTCATGTCGGCCATCAACGGCGCCCTCGCCCCCCAGCGCGACCACTCGATGCTTCTCGCCCGTCTGCTGCCCCTCGCCCCCCACCACGACGGCGCCCACCCAACCCCTCCCCATCCAACATGGCATTCGGCCCACACGAGGCTGAGGCCATCGGCTGGAAGATCGGCGCCTTCCTCCACGAGCCCCCCGCTGCTGTGGCCGCCATCGACCAGTACCTCGTCGGCGAGTCGGTGCTGAGGCGGCGGGTGCGTGCGGCCGTCGGCCACTTCGTCAAGTCGGCGGCCACCCAGACGAGCAGCAACAGGGAGGTCGTGGGCGGGACGCGATACCAGCAGCAGGGCGACAAGCGCGTCAAGGTGACCGTGCCGCTTCTGCAGTGCTTCGCCGTGGGGGGTCAGCAGGGTGGGCAGCATCGGCTGCTGGGTGTCCGTGAGGTGGTGCACCGGGCCCGGCTGGACGAGGCAGCCACCCATGGGATGCGGCTGGTCAAGGGCTTCAACGAGCATCTGGGCGATCAGGACTGCCAGTTCGAGTGGGGCCAGCTGGGCCGCATCGACAAGGGGACCGGTATGTTTGTGTCGCTGGGCATCGACTGACTGAGAGGGAGAAGGAGGGAGACAGAGGGAGGGGGGATGAGTGGGTGAGTGATGGTGGACGGGGGAAGCGGCAGGTTTGTGTGTGGCTCGTGCAGCTCTCTCATTTTTTGTGGCATGTCGTGAGAGACTCTGATGATCGGCTCATCTCAACGTCGATTGTGTTTCGTCACACGTGCATTCCATTCATGCGTCAGGACACCGAGGGGATGCCAAGAGAGGGAGGGAGAGGGATGGCCAGCAAGGCCTGAGATGGCTTCAGCAGCGGTGCATTTCTGCTAGCTGCATTCCGGACAGTTCCGGGGCTCATGTGGCATGGGTGCGGCATACAGCGTCGACTTAGCACAGTCAATGATGCACTCGCTTTCGATCCACAGCAAGTCACGTCTTTCGTTGGCGAGGCAGGCAACGGCGATAAAGAAGCACTGACACCAACACACAATGACGGATGCACACATTCGCCAACGACACAGAGCGAGAATTCCCACAACACATCGATGGGTACATGAATGCATGCAGGGGCAGCCCGCGTCGATTTGGAACGCCCAAGGCCGCCCGTCACGCCCAATGACAGACACGCACCCAACCCCACTACGTCAAAAGCCACACACATCCACTCACACCCACTGGCAGGGAAATAGGCAGGCAGGCAGGCAGGCAGACCCCCCTCCCCCGTACTCGTACCACACACACGAAATGAATCGCTCGCTCTCTCTGTCGGCTGTGAGCGTACCATCCCAGCCACACCAAGACAGACACCAGAACCGATCTCACATCTCATGAACCATGAATGCCTTGCTTGAGTCAGTGTGGCTTGGTGGCGACAAAAAGGCCCCATGTCTGCACGCCAGCCGCCACTCTGTCGAGCTTCTTCTGCCACCCCTCCCGCAGGTCATCGTAGTCGGCCTGCGAGAAGCCCTCCGCAAAGAAGGCCTCCCGCTTCCCCTCCAGCAAGGCCAGCTCTCTTGTCAGCACACTCGTGAAGTCGGCCGACATGTCGCGGCTCGTCTCGACCGTCAGGCCGGCCTGCTGCAGCACTCGCGCATACTCATCGACAGTGAGCAGAAAGTACTGTCTGTCGGCGATGTAGCTGCGGAATTCCTCTGTCCATGTGTGGGGCGGCCCCCCGCAGCAGTAGTCGGTGATAACGACCCTGCCGCCCGGCTTGAGCCACTCGCAGAACCGCCTGAAGAGCGCCAGCTTGGGCTCGATGTGCAGGATGGCGTCGCGGCTGTAGATGACGTCCACACTGCTGGCCGGCAGTTCGAGCGTCATGACGTCGGCCTTGCGGAACTCCAGCTGCCCACTTGGGGTGCCTTTGTAGCGCTCCTGTGCGATGTCGATACACGTGGATGTGAGGTCGATGCCCAGGACGTCGGCGCCGTAGGTCTCGTGGATGAAGCTGTCACCGCCCCCAATCCCGCAACCGACGTCTGAGTGGACGGACAGACATATGGATGAATGGATGCGCAGACATTCACCGGCGTGATGTTCCGCCTGACAGCTTACTTACCGAGGACACGTTGTCCGGGTTTGAGCTGCATGTGCTTGGTGATCTCCCTGGTCGTCTCGAGACCGCCTGTCGAGATGAAACCACTGCATGGTACAAACACAGATGTCATGACCATTATACCGTGAGGCTTCTCCCTCCCATATATCGTCCCTCAGCTGCTCACCTGCCAAAAATGGCCTCATACTTCAACACGCCTGCAGCGAGCTCCAGACCACACACAGGAACGCGACCATCCAGCTGTGTCTGTCTGTTTCTCCCCTCTCCCGCTCCTCACCTCTTCTTGAGTACTGCTTCTCCTGCAGATACCTCTCGTACTCGTCTGCCGACGCGGCCGATGCACCACCGACGTCGATGCTGCCCATGACTGGAGGACAGATCTGGACAGATCTAGCAGCCCCTCAGCCCCTGGTGTGGTGCCTCTTTCTTGTCTTGGCGCTGTTTTTAGCTCGCCCCTGAACCCTAGACCCCAAACCCTGAAGGGAAGGTGTGTGTGTGTGTTTGGGTTGTTCGCTCACCCGCGTCGGCCTGAGGGGAGAGCCCTGGGATACCAGCGTCCAATAGAAGCCTTGGCCGAGAAACAGACCATCTTGTACGATTCTGCGCGGCAGATCTCGCTGGTAGTCAAAGAGAACAAGACACGAGAGCAAATACACGAGAGCACAGGACGCCTCTGTGCTCTTCTCGTCAGCCGTGTTTGAGCGTAGCCATGGGAGCGGCAGCTTCGTCGTCATCTGCCTCTCGCCCTACGCCAGAGGTGAGTCAAGCCACGATTCCGTAGACTGCCATTGCAAAGGATGTGTGTGTTTGTTCGTTTCGTCAGGCGACGCCATGCTGCGCGAGTAGTCGTTGTCAGGAGGGCACTCGTGTGTTGCTGATGTCGAGCAGCAAGAGGGCTCCCACTGAGGACTACGTGTGGGTCAAGGCCGAGGTGGTCAGCATCGTCCCACAGGTCTTCTACATGAGGGAGGGCACTCTGCAGGAGGGGATGGAACTCCACATGAGGGAGGTGGGCGGAAGGGGGGAGCTGTTTGAGCAAGTGGTGCCTTACCAGACCAACACGACCACAAACTCGAACACAGCGACGCCCGTGGTAGGCAAAATGCAGCTCACAGAACAAAAACTCAGCTCTCTGGACGGACCCACTGGTTGATGTCTGTCTCTTGTGGTCGGGTGTTTGCTGTGTGTGTGTGTGTTGTTTGTCTGCAGGTGTGGGATTGCAACAAGAAGGTACCGCACACAGGCACACACAACACACGAACGACGCCACCCATTCTCCGTGGGTCGTTTCTCTGCTTCCTTCAGGCCCCTGTTGGTTTTGGCGAGGACCTTCTGGCGTCGGTGTTCGGCTTTTTGTCCCCTCGCGAGCTGTCGGCCCTCTTCCCGCCCCCTTGCAGCACCGGCCCTGAACCTATCACCCTCCTCAGCAAGAAGTCCCGCAGACACAAGCAGACACGCAGGAAATCTGGCTGGTAAGTCAGCAGATGGACGCCAAGGACAGCTTTGGATGCCAAGAGCGATGGATGCATCTCTCCCTCCCTCTGTGGTGCTCTCTTCAGCCATGTTCGAGCCATTGGCGGCGACGGCACCAGCGACTCACCCCTCTCGTCCATCACACCGTCTTCCGCCCTGCCGTCGACTATCGGCGGTGGGCTGTTTGCGGGCGCCACATCGGGATCGACCAATGCGATAGCAGAGCCCACCGACTGGGAGACCACGGAGGTATTCGAGGAGAGAGGTCCCGCCATCGGCCGCCGTGGTCGGCCAGGCCGCGGTCGGCGGGGTGTGCCATCGGCAGCATCAACGGGAGAGGGGGACCTGGCGACTGCTGCCGCGCCACCAGGCGGCGGCACATCGTCGGTCTTCACATTCGGCGCAACGACCCCCGCATCTCAATCACGGACCACCCGCGTCTTTAACAAGCCCGTCAGCACCGCCCCTGCGCCCACTTCGAGCGCCAGCCTCACCACCACCACGACCACCACAGCCCCAATCGACCTCTTCGGCGGCAGCATCCAGACCAAGAGTGGCAGCCTATTCGCGCCTGCGAAAGCGCCCACCGCATCACGGCCGACAACCACACCCGCCAGCAACCCATTCGAGCTCGATAAGGCGTCCACAAAGGGACGATGTGGCGGCCTGTTTGGTGCTGAGGCAGCGTTGGGTGTTGAGTCTCTGTTGGGTGGAGTCGGCCCGACGGGCAGCATCTTTGGCGGCACTGGTGAGTGACGCACATGGACGGATGGCTGGATGAATCAATCCCATGCTGGCTGCATGTGTGTGTGGATGGATCAGGTATGGCGGCGTCATCTCTCTCCAGCGGCAGTGGGGCGTCATTGTCCACCGGCGGCAGTACGTTTGGCGAAGCGGCCTTCGCGCAGCGATCAACCGGTGGACGAGGTGTCATGGAGAGCAGCGACTCCCCCGTGTACATGGCAGCCCTTCATCAGCAGACACATGTCGCTATCGACCCTCTCACCGATGAAGACCGCCTATTCTGGGAGACCATGACGCCTGACGAGGCGTTTGGGCTCGGCAGAGGGCTTGTCAACCTGACAGCCCTCAGCCTCGTGCAGCCATCGGACAATCCGTTGTGGTGCATGGACAGCATGATAGCCATCGTAGAGGGCCAGGCGGCTGGGCGTCACGAGGTGTGTCAGAAGGAGGGGCAGCAGCACATGGCAGAGGGATCCCTCGAGACCATCCAATTCACCACCACCAACACCACCATCGCGACGACCCCCAGCAACCGTCCCCCCATCCCTCCTTCATTCACCACTTCGCCCCCGACCCTCCATGCCCTCAAGGCCGTCACTGGAGCCCTCCCACGGCACGATGTGCTGGTCAACACGGGCTGGAAGATACCCGCGCTTGAGTGTGTGGAGCAGGTGGGCTGGGGCGCCCGCACGCTGGGCCGCTTCATCAGCTCGTCGCAGTCGCTCAAGGCCGTCAGTGGGAGTCAATTCTCCTGGTGGGACTGGGCGGCTGTGTTTGGGCGCATACCTGAGGCCCCTGCCGGGCAGCCAGGGCCGCTCAGACAGCTGGAGCGCATCGGAGAGATCAGGCTTGATACGGAAGGAGTCAGACAACTCCAGGTGGGCAATTGCCGCGCCACACAGCAAAGGCATCGTCAGTGCGTGTGCTCATGCATATGACGTCCTTCCTACCTTCTTGTGCTGTTCTTAGGATGTGCTCACATCGCGTGGCTGCCAGAAGTCGCTGACGAGGCTCGACGTGCACATTCGACCGTCGGTGCAAGCCAGCACCCTCCCCGATCTGCTCGCCATCGATGACCTGATCAACATGTGCTGTGTGTCGCCCGACGCCGCCCACCCGATATGTGAGGGCCTGGGCTTCTTCGACCTGGCCGTCTTCTACGCCGACGCATTCCTTCATCGCCCATCCCCCTTCATCAAGGCTGCCCTGCAGGAGGCGGCACGGCGGGCAACCAAAGTGTACTACATCCTCAGCAATCATGACATCACCCACCCCATCGACAATCCCACCCAGGCCGCCATCGACATCGCATCGAGCCTGTCATTCGAGAGGGCGGAGCGCGTGGTAGTCGAGAAGGCCGCTGGCTTCACGATCCCTCCCGGCACGCCCTCACCCGCCCCCGCCATCATCAGCCACCTGCAGCCATTCCCAAATGCCACAGACCTGCATACTCGCGCTCTGGGCGGTGCTGCGGGCCGCCTGTTGGCGCAGAAGATGCCCATGCGAATGAGGAAGGTGGTATTTTGGGGAGGCGTGAGCAGGGAGGAGAGGAGCGACGTGCTGGACGGATTGGGGAGTGAGAGGGAGGTGGCTGCTGTCGCTGCTGGGGACAGTCTTCTCACGCAGGACCCCTTTGGCGGGTGGGGGTCGGCGGGATCGCCATCGATTCACAACATACGGCTAGAAGTGGAAGGTATTCAATGAAAGGAAGTGCAGTCAGTGAGTGCAGTGCAGTGTCACTGATTGTCCGTCAGTATTATGCGCGTGTGTATGCGTTGATGTCTTGCGTCTCTCGTCATTCAGTGCCCGACTCCTCTGATGCTGCCCAACTCGTCCGCGACGGCCTGTCGACACTGCTCAACGCTGGCGTGCCAGGCCTGACGGGAGTGCAGTTTCGCTGCCATGGCATGACGGCAACTTTGGCACCGCCATTCGGCAGGTGCTCCCGAACGGCACGCAAATAGGCGGCTTTGACGTCACCACATCGGACGGCCTCGACGTGTTCGACGACCCTTCGTCCACGATTCAGCTGGAGGCAACTCGTCGCTCTTGAAGCGTGTGAGTGAGTGAGTGAGTGACATGGAGACGGGCAAGGGCTCACGGTGTGTGTGTGCGTGTGTGTGTGTGTGTGTGTGTCTGGAAAGACTGCAGTCTGTCGGGCTTCCCAAGACAAGACAGCACCGTAGCCCTAGTTGCCGAATGGCCGAGGCCACCTGTAGATACGGCTGTGCAGCCGCTTTCTTGACGGATAGATACATGTAGATAGGTAGATAGACGGATGGATGGATGGATGTGGACTAACTCATTCATGTGTGCGAGTGGCCCGCCAAACGCCGTGCGTGTGGGCACTGCTCTGTGCAGCCGTTAATTCTCAAGCAGGCACTGACTGACTGATTGATGTTTCCATGGACGCACTCGAGAGCCTTCACCGTCGTGCTACTAGGGCCACGTCTCATCCATCCCGCCCGCATCTTTGCAGTCACCCCCCTGTCTGCCTGACTGGGTGTTTCGGCAACAAGTCGTCAAGGAAATCTGCATTGCATAGTCTACAGCTCCTCTCCCTTCCAGTATTCGTGAGTGTCTGAGAGTCTCACAGCCATCTCAGGCCTTCCTGGCTATCCCTCTCCCTCCCTCTCTTGGCATCCCCTCGATGTCCTGACGCATGAATGGAACGCACGTGTGACGAAACACAATCGACGTTGAGATACACCGATCATCAGAGTCTCTCACAACACGCCACATAAAACTGAAAGAGCTGCACGACACACACACACACACACACTTCCACCGTCCACAATCACTCACCCACTCATCCCCCC